GCGCGAGCCTGCGGGGAAGGTGGGCGCGCGGGAGAGGCGCGTAAGGTGACCCGAGTCCGGGACGCTTTGGAGAAGGGCCCGGGACCCCTGGGCGCAGGGTCTGGGGGTGCGAGCCTGCGGGCTAGCCGCTGCCCCGCGTCGGGGTCCGCGCCGAGGTCGGGATTGTTGAGCCTTCAGAAGAAGGGGCCCGGGTCCGCGGAACAGTCCGGGGCGCATCGTGCCGGGACGCGGCGGCCGGGACCGGGACCGGAATCCGTGTCCAAGGTTGGGACCGACGTCCGCCGACCTAGTCCGGGAGCGCAGCGAGCCGGCTGCCGGGTGCGCGCCGGGCAGGGGCAGGGCAACGCTGCGGACCGGGCTAGCTCCGGGGATCCTGGCTGGGGGCTCGGGGCTCGGATAAGGTCCCCGAAGTGCGCGCCCTGGGTCCCAGCCCGCCGCGTGGCCCCCGCGGAGCCGCCGCCGCCTCCCGGGGCCGAAGCAGTATTGATCCCGCGCCCGGGGCTTGGGTGGCCCGGTGGCGGCGGCCTGGGAAGCACCGTGACCGTCAGTGGTTGTCATAGCAACGAGACCCCAAGCGTCTTCAGGTTATATTTATTCTAATTATTATTATTATCATTATCGGTATTAGTATTTGCTAGCCAGCGAGAGGAAAAGAAAAAAAAAAAAAAAAAAAAGAAAGGAGAAAGAAAAGCCAGCGCGTCCTGGCGCCTCCAACTGTTACCTCTTTGGAAAGAGCCGAGCCGGCTGGTGGGTGGGCCAGGCCGACTGTGGGTCTCTGGGCCACCTTGGCTGCCTCGGTGGCACCCTGGAGCAGCCCCCCGGGAGGGGGTTATATAATCCAGCGGAGCGTCTCCGTGTGCGCCTTTGTGTCTCTCCCGCCTCTCAGGGCCTCCAGGTCCCCTTGGCTTAGTGGCTGTTCCTGCCAGACCCGGATGGGAAGAGCAGAAAGTGCCCCGCACGGGGAATCCCAGGCGCCTCCACCCTGGCTTCCCCAGCTTTGTGACCTTGAACCCGTGAGCCGGGCTCTGGACCCCTCTGAGCCTCTGTTTTCTTATTTGTGAGTTCAGCGCGAGCCTTTCCCACCACCCTTTGGCTTGCTGTGAGGTCGCGGACAAAACCCCGGGAGTAGCGGCCAAGGGCTGACAGATGTGTGGCCTCCGCCTCCAACGAGCCTCAGTTTCCTGGTCTGTAAAGTGAGGGCCTGGCCCCTCAGTGTCATCTAAGGGGGCTGCAGTCACCGATGGGCTTTGACGGTCACCCTGGGCAGCAGTGAGACGCGGGTGGGCTGGCAAATCCCGCTCCACCCCCCCCATGGGAAGCTCCTCCCCCATTGCCCTTTGTTCCTGCGCGGATTCTGAGTGTCCCAGTGTGTCCCTCGGGGGCCTTTGGAACAGCCCGCTTCTGGTCAGCCGTGGAAGTGGGTTAGAGATGTCACCAAGAATGGAGAATCGCAGTAACCTTTGGTCCCTCGTGTCCGTGCAGGTCCCCCTGCCTTCCCTGGTCCTGCTCAGGGCCAGACGCCTCCCTGCCCTGACAGCCGTTTGCTCTGTGCCTGTCCTGGCTGGAAGTTCTGCAGCCCGGCTGCCCCTGCCCCTTGTGGCTGAAGCTGAAAGCATGGGTGGGGGTTTTAATGTCAAGGGCAAGCAGGGTTTGCTGGTCTGTCTCCGGCATCAGGGAGGTGTGGGACCTACTGGTCAACTAGGGGTGACGGAAGCAGTTGCCTGGACCTGTGTGTGCATGTATGTGTGTGTCCCTGTCTGTCCCACTCCAGCTCTTGGGCCTCCTGTGCGGGAGTTTATGGGGACAGGAGGGGTGGGATCAGGTCTTTGAGGGTCAGCAAATGGCTGGGACCTGCCCTGAGAGAGGCACCCTTGTCACCGGTGTCCCGCCCATCCCCTCACTGCCCTCCTTAGTGGTTCCCTGCGTTGACACCACCACCCACAGTGGTCCCGGAGGAAGCAAACAGGAAGGAAGCAGCCAGTGACAAACCGGTGGGTTCAGGCATGTCTGGGCCAGCTTGTGGACCTCAGGGACACATGCCTTGGGAACACACACCCGAGCGCCTGCCCCGCGGAGTGCAGGAGGGGCCGGGTGAGGTAGTCTGCAGAGAGAGGAGGGGCTGCAGGACATGGACCCTCCAAGGTGCAGCTGCAGATGGACAGGAGGGGACTGTCCTCTCCTGGGCCTGGGGACTGGGCAAGGGGATGGCATGGCAGGAACAAGGAGCCCCCACCTCACCCCCAGCCTGGCCGAGGGCCTCAGAGGTAGGGAAGAGGGGGAGAAGCTTTGGGCTTGGTGGCCTCTGGTCGAGGGGCAACAGGGCCAGTCGTTGGGGACAAGAAGACACCTAGTCCCCATCCCCTTCCCCGCACTTCAGGGAGGACGCAGGGGCTGCCCGGGCACCAGGCGTTGGTGTCTGGGGGAGGTAGCAGGTCACACCAGGTCTGGCTGCCTCAGCTGTGTCCACAGTAGCTTTGCTGACACAGCCTCCTGAGCCACAAGACCTGCTCGCTCCTGCTGTTCAGATGCAAAGCCAGGCTCAGGGACAGGTTCATGACAAACCTCCCAGCCAGGATCACACTTGCAACCACGGACGTCACCAGGCTGTAGACACACGGCCGGCCGGCTGGGAGCTGCTGGAGGCCTAACTGCTGGTCATTGTCCTGTTTGCTTAGATATCACCTCCTTTCTTGGGGATGCGTTACCTCTTTTAACTCAGCCCCTGTTGCCTTGGCTTCTCCCCAGCTGATTCACACAGCAGATTCTCATGGCTCTTAGAATGAACCCCACACTCTCCCTGGCTCTCCAGAGCGGCTTCCTCAGTTGCTCTTTTTAAAAGCACCTGAAGTTGCTTCTCTGAAACCCCGAGAACAGTGGGGCTCAGTTTCTCAAATACTGTTCTAAAAGGTGGGGTCCTGAACACCAGAGCCGGGTGCCAGGGAGCAGGGTGCTCCTCCTGCCCTGGGCCACGCCTTCCTGGGGCCATCACGTCCCCGCTTTGTAGGTGCTGGTGGTAGGGGAGGCTCCGTCTCTTCCCGCTCCTCTTTCCCTCCCTCCCCTAGCACACGCTTCCTTGGCCCCTCCCCATGACCTGCTTGGGGCTGGCTACACAGGCCTCAGTCTCTAGCTGGGACTGTGGATGTCCCAGCCCCTCTGTCCCTGCTTGTCCCCTGTCCCCAGCTGTGGCCAGCTTGGGAGATTCGGGTCAGGGCCTGCCCTGGGCACCCCGCTGCCCCCTCACTCCAACCCTAGCCCTGCCCAGGTTTTTCTGGTGGTAGCCCAAAGTGCCTGGAAGCCATTGGAAGCCTCACCGTCCCCAGCTTAGAAGGGAGTGGGGTACAGACCAAGCCCTGGCAGCAGCACCCTGAGTCTATGCTGCACAGTAATGGGGCCACTGCTGGGGAGGACCCCAAGCCCCTCCACATCTTCATATGTGGACGGGGACACGGAGGCATCAAGGTCACACAGTGAGTTGGGCGTCCTTCAGGGCCCACGGTCACCAGCCACACAGTGGGCATTGTCCAGAGGCCGCTGAGGCCTGGGCTGGGGGAGCCAAAATTCCTTGGATACTGAAACCCCAAAACCCAAGGTGCCCTTTATAGGAGCCACTGCAGGTGCCCCCTGCCCTGGGCATCGGGTGGGAGAACTGAAAGCACCTCCAGCTGGCTTTCCAGGGTGCCCCTCACAGCCTGCAGTGCACCCTCGGCCCCTGCGTGGGGTGCACACTGCCGGAGCCCCCATCTGTCCGCACCCGACCTGCCTCAGCAGATGTGCACAGATGCGCCTTCAAGAAATTAAGAGATAATGCATGAGTTTCCCAAATCACACCCATTTAACACTGAATTAAGTTCTGCAAGCTCTTAGCAGAACCCTGGAAGGAAAAAAAATTTTTTTTCTGTTCACACTTGCCTGGAAAATGAGACAAACCCTGCTCTTTGAAACCCCAGCTACATAATCTGATTATCCCTCCCTGGCAAACCTCCAAGAGGTGCCCCGCGGAGGGGGAGGGACGCCGGTTCCTCTCGGCTGAGCGATTTGCATGGGGAGATTGGGCTGGGAAAGTTTGCCTCCTGCGCCAGATTCCCAGGCTCCTCTTTGCTCGATGGGCTCAAAATAAAGTGCCGTTTTCTTAGATATTGGCACAAATTAAAAATAAAGGCAAATTCCTTCAATCATCCGGGGCAGGAATTTCCTCAGAGGCTCCCCAGGCGTGTGAGGGAAGCGGTGTGATTGGGTTTCACTTTGGGCTCCTTTCCCTTGTCGATGGCATCGTGCGTGTGCAGTGGGATTTATAGGCCAAGACAAAACGAGTTTAGCTCTGGCTCATTCTGCTCACTGTGTGCGGGGATGGGGTGCCGGGCCCAGGGGACGGGAGAGAGGACTTGGATCGGAGCCCTGCCCTGCTGAGCTTTGCTCTTGGGGTGGGAGCCAGAGAAAAAAAGAACAGGCAACGGAGGGGACAAGGAGGGCTTCCTGGAGTGGTCACTTCAGCTTGGGTCTAGAAGGGTGTGTAGGAGTGTGCCAGGCAGATTGGGGGCGGATAGGGGGATGTAGGGAAGGGGGGCATCCTGAGAGGGTTTGAAGCAAGCCTCACCCATGGGCGTGGCTTCCCAGTGACACCTTCGGATTCTAGTACGAAGCTTCCTTTGTTAAAACCCACCCTGACGCGCGGCTTTTTGCAAAGACCTTTCCCATCCATTGTCATCCATCCTCCTCAGGCAGCTGGAGACCCAGTTCCCTAGGGAAGGCGGAGCCCAGGGTGGGTTTCCGCAGCTCTGGGTCTGAGGGCACCCACGTGGAGCCACGGTGTGGGCATCCTGAAGATTCAGTTAAGAAGCACGGCCCAGAAAGCCCCTTCCTCCCTCCCAGAGCTTGGCCCTCCCGGAGCGGGGTGGGCTGTGGGACTCAGGTGCTTGCAATGCCCGAAGCCAGGCCGCATCTGGGAAAGGGGCTGGCGGAGCCCTGGGCCGCCTTCAGGACAGAGAGCCCTGGGAAGGCCACAGGCAGGCAGACCCTGCGGCTTCGCCCGGGACTCGGGCAAGTCCTGTGATCCCGCAGCTGTGATGTCCTCTGGAGAGGACAGATTTGCATAGAGGGCGCAGGGGCACCGGCTGGTGTTCAGTCCCGTGCCGGCTCCTAGTGCCCTGACTTCGTCACTGCCACGCACGTCACTGTCCCTCTGTGTCACCATGTGAATACCCTTCCACGAAGTGGCCGGGGAGGAGCCAAATCTTGTCCCTGCCCGGCCCCTGGAGCCCCTCTCTGCCTGCCCCGGTTGCAGAAGGAGTGTGAGGAGTTGGCCAAGGAAGCACAGTGCCTGGGACAGGTGGTGCTGCTCCGGTGCCATGGCAACTGGGAGGTACCAGCCGGCTCAGGGGCTGGGGCTCCAATCCAGTGCCACATCTTCCTGGCAGCCAGCGCTGGGTTGTGCATTTCACTTCGGCTCTGTCTTCATTTCCAAAATAGGTGGATAATGAGGAAATAATAAGAACTTGCACAGGTGGTCAGGAGGCTGGGAGGTGGGGATGCACAGCCTGGGCACCCCGCTCAGTGACAGTGATAATGCTGGTGTGTCTCCCCTGGTGCAGGAGGAACAGTCAGGGTGAATCCCATCCTCTGCTTCAACTGGCTGTGTGACCTTGAGCTGGTTACATCACCTCTCTGGGCCTCAGTTTCCTCACCTAAAAATGGGGACAGTATCCACCTCACAGGGTTCTTGCAAGACTTAAATGAGTCAATGCAAGGAATATGCTTGGTGCAGGAGCAGAGTCTGACGCATAGTCGGTGCTCAGTAACTAGTCCTGTCTTTAGTGTCATCACCACTCCATGTTTCATAGCCAAAGCACCATGAAGACTCTGGGTCAGAGCAGGGTCAGAGATCCTCTCCGGCCCTGAAGGCTACTGGGCCTGTGCTCTGCAGCCAGGACCCAGCAAGGCCTGGCTGGCTTCGACGTTCTGCTGAGAATAAAGGAGATGGATGGATGGATGGATGGATGGATGGATGGATGGATGGGCGGGCAGATGGATCAGTGGATGGGTAGATAGATGGGTGAATCAATGGATCAGTGGATGAATTGGTGGGTGGATGGATGGATGGATGGATGGATGGATGGATGGATGGAGAGATGGATGGATGGATGGGCCGGCAGATGGATCAGTGGATGGGTAGATAGATGGATGAATCAGTGGATCAGTGGATGAATTGATGGGTGGGTGGATGGATGGATCAGTTGATGGGTAGATAAATGGGTGAATCAATGGATGGATGAATGAATGAATGGATTGATGGGTGGGTGGACAAATAGATGGGTGGATGGATGAATAGCTGGGTAGTGGGTGGGTGGCTCAATGGGTGGGTGGACAGATGGATGGATGATAGGAAATGTCACAAGCTTGGAGCAGGGCAGGTCTGGAAGAGGCCCAGATGTGATCTTTCCTCTCCCCACAAGTGTTTGTTGACTGAGGTTGGATGGGGGTGGCTGAGGTCTGGGAGCCCCAGGCTCTGTGGTGTCCCTGAGAGTTTGGTCCTGGGCCAGACAGAGCCCAGTAGTGTGTGGCTGCTGCCCCTTAGCACAGGTATATTCCCGGCTACACTGAGCCAGTTACTCCCGCTTCAGGAAAGGACAGGGCCATCTTCCTCCTTCCTCAGAGCCATGGTGAGCCACGGACAACATGGTAGCAGGGAGTTTGTAGTGTGTAGAGGTAAACTGAGTCAGCTCGGGTGTTTGGGCTCCATGGGGTGGGAAGCGGGGAGTGCAAGTGGTCTTAGAGCAGGGGAGCGGTGGCAGGCAGCAGAGTCAGGAAACACAAGCTTGGGCACTGTCTCAGCCCTTGAGAGCTGAGGCTCAGGGCCAGGGGAGGAGAGGGAGTGCACCTCCAGCCTGCAGCAGAATCGGGCCCCCATCCAGCAGCCGTAGGACAGCCCAGGGCCCCTGAAGCCTGCCTGGGAGACCTTCCCTTCCTTGCCACGTTGCAGGTGCCACCTGGCTTTGTCCTGCAGCCATGAGTGGGGTCTGGTGCCATTCCCGCAGCTCAGCCCAGCAGAGGACACAGGCGCTAAGCCAAGAGGAGCACCTGCTGGCTCTTCCCTTCCCCCTGGAGGCCAGATGTTCGCAGCAGGCACCAGGGTGCCTCGCGCTCCGGTGGCCACCTTCACCACTGCAAGGCTTCCCTGCCTTTCTCCTCTGTGCCTCAGTTTCCTCTTCTGTAAAGAGGGTCCCAGCAGGCCCTCTGTGCACATCTGGCTGGGGCCCTGGTGGGTGGTGGGCCGGCCTTCCCCTTCCTTTCGTGTGGCCAAGTGAACCCCTCCTCCCGGGGCAGTGAGACACAGAGCGGTGGGAGCTGGTGGGGCCCTGCACGGGGCCTCATCTTCCTGGCTTCCTCTGCCACCGGTGGCTCCATCTGCAGGGACAGGTGTCAGGCAGGCGTGGGCGAGCCACCTGTCCAGAGTGTGGCCCCAGTTCATTTGCTCCTGTGACAACACCAGACCTGGCTCGGGGCCCCTGGGGAGATGAGTGCAGTCACCTGCTTGTCCCAATGCCCGATGGTGGTGCAGGTGTTGGGGTAACAGAATGGGAAGTGGCTCTGCCTGAGGGGGTGAGATCAAGGAGGCCTGCCCAGAGGAGGTGGCACCCAGGGAGGTGAACTGGCCCATGCTAGTGAGGAAGGGGATGGAGGGATGGTGGAGGCAGAGGGAACCACGGATGTGGAGCCTCAGGAATGCATTTGGGAAATTTCCATACATCGATGTGGCTGCCCCATGGGCACCTATGAAAAGCTGAGCAGAAACCAAGACTGAAGAAGTCTGATTGCTGAGCATTTGGACAAGTTACAGAGTTTGACTTTTGCCCTGTAGATCAAGGTGACAAATGTGTGGCTTGAGTGCCACCACCCATCACTATGGTGTCCAGGACAGACATTGCTAATCAACTCACCAGTAGGACTCAGAGTGTCCCCAGGTCAGACACTGCTAATCAACAAACCACCAGCAGGACTTGGGGCACACACAGGGCAGATACTGCTAATCAACCCACCCCAGTAGGACTCAGGAGGTACCTATGGCAGACATTGCTAATCAATCTACCAGTAGGACTCAGGGTTCACCCAGGGCAGGCATTGCTAATCAACGCATCAGTAGGACTCAGGGTACACACAGGGCAGGCATTGCTAATCAGCCTACCAGCAGGACTCAGGGTACACCAGGTCCTCCAGGCAGCCCCAGCCTTAGCTCCTGAGATGATACCTGGTTGCCCTTGCTGCTGTGGGCAACTGGGATACCGATGCTCTGTCTTGGATGCTTGTGTTCCAGGACAGAAGTGCCACTGAGGAGTGCAGACTGCTCCCCAGGACCACCCCCTCCCCGTCACCTGCCGGCCCACAGGCCCGTGGGCACACAAGCCTGGGACAGCCTTGGCTGTCCAGCTGGAGCCTGGCTGCAGAGGGAGGCCCCAGGGAGAGGAGGGCCGGGCAGGCCTCTGGGCAGGATGAGGGAAAGATTAGCAGACATCTCTCCCGAAATCCAAACAGTCGGACAATCTGTTCTGGATCGATTTAGAAGCAGTAGAGTGACAAACATCAGCAAATACAGTGTGAAAGCTATTTTCTGTCTCGGCACAGTCGGGAACAGGGCTGAGCTGGAGTTTTATTTGCAGATGGTCCAAGGCCGGGCCAGGCCTCTCACCTCTTCGCTGTCCACCTGCTCCCTTCCTGCCTGCGGCTGCCCACACCCTCCATTCTCGCTGCCGGCTGGGGACCCCGGCCCCCTTGAGCCTCAGAGTCAACACCTGCCAGGGCCACGTGCTCGGGCCCCCTGCACCCAGCCCAGGGGCCTGCACACGGGGGAGTGCGCATCCGTCTGGCTCCCCCTGGTGTCGCTAGGACCCCAGGGACAGGCACATAGTAGGTGTTCAGTAAAACTTTCTTCCCTGAATGATAGGAGGGAGGAAGCAAGAAAGGAAACTGAGGCCTGGATGAACCGATCTTCTACTGCTACACGGTCTGCCCCCAGGGGCATGATCTGTCACCCCCAAACCAAGATTTCCCTTCCCCATCCCAGGGCCGGCAGCCCGGTGCCCACTGGAGACCCCCGGGCCCCCCCTGCATGTGACTCCCCGCTTTCCCATTGGCCAGGCCCCTCCCACTCCTCTCCACTCCCACGCTCCTCTCTGTGGACTTGAGCCAAATGCTGATTGTTCTAAAATAACACGTTAAGGGCAGGGCCAGGCGGGGTGGGGCGAGGTAGGGCGCAGGCGGTGTCTTTGGGTCTGTATCCCCCCCAGAGGGCCTGCTCCAGGGCTGTGGGGAGCTGGCCTCTGCAGGAGTCAGCTCCCCTGGGAATGGAGTGGCTGGTTCCCAGTACCCCGCCCCACCCCTGTTTGGGAAAGGGGGCAAGCTCGGGGTGGGAGGCAGCTTGTTTGCAGGAAGCGTTGGCTTCCTTCTCCCACCCTTCCATCCCCAGAGCCCAGAAGGAACCTTGACATGGAAACCAGACCCGCTTGGGTCCAAGCCTCAGTATCACTATAATCCCAGCACTCAGAAGGCTGAGGCAGGAGGATCACTATGGATTAGAGGCCAGCCTGGGATACACTGTGAGACCCTGTCTCAAAAAATAAGAAGTCCAAAATGAAACAAAAACAAGAAAACTAAAGGAGACAAGTCTGTAAAACACCAAGCATAGTAGGGGTCAGGCAAACAGTAGGTGCTCAGGAAACGTCCTTTTCCTCTGGTTCTGCTGCGGGGTGCGCTTAGCATCATACAGTTTAACTCGTGCTCGAGTTCTGCCATTGTGGGCTCCAGACCCACCCGGCACATCCCCCAGCCAACAGCAGGGGTCACACCACAGCACAGGCGGCCCTAGGAGCCCCAAGTACACGAGCATTGTGGTGGGGGCCCCATGCCGGGACCCCAAGCAGTGGCAGCCCGTGGCCCGGCATGAGCTGTGGGGCTCTGAAGCTCAACCGGGAAGGGCCGGTCACCCTGCGGGCAGGGCGCTGTGGGTCACCCGGCACCGTCTGGGGTTCACATAGGGTCTCACCCGATCCTCACCCCCCGAGTAAAGCCAAGGCTGGCACCCCACTTCGGGGCAGGGGCAGAGAGATGCGTCACGGGTCTGGGGTCCCGGGGTCGCTGCGTCCCATGTGAGCCCACGCTCTGCCCTCTGTGCCCGTGGCTCAGGCCGCCGTGGCACTGCCTCGCCTGCCCTGGAAATTCCGCCCCCGCCGCCCCAGTTCTCCTTGGGTTTTCTGCCGACAAAGCTCCTCCGTAAATGTGTTTTGATGTTACCTCTCCAGTTCCCAGAAGTTTTCGAGCCAGCGTTCCCCCACAGCGGCGCGCTAATTAGACCTCCAAAAAGCTGTTTACTTGGATGTCAACCTGGGCTGGAGAACTGGGCGATTTTCGCCCATTAGGAGGGACGTGCAGTCTGCAAAGCGGCAGGAGGGCCGCTGTCGTGGGCGGGGCCTCGCTACGGCCTTCAGAGGACGCAGGTGCCGGGGCCCTCCGCGAGGTCCCAGGAGGTCCCAGGGCTGGGCGCGGTGGTCACTCAGAGGTGTTTATTCTGAGCTCCATCAGAGCGGAGCAGGAGTTGGGGGTTGCTGAGGGGCAGAGCTTTAGCACTAAGGCGAGGAGGTCGTGGCTGGTGCTTGTTCACTGCCCAGGAGGGACGCCCCTTACTGAGGGCGAGGTCGCAGAGGGAGGTGGCACCCTGCGATGAGGACCACAGGCCAGAGGAGTCCAGCAAAGGTCCCAGCAAGCCTGAGGTCTGGCCAGGCCTGGGCTCGGGGGAGCTGGGGCGCAGCAGAGGCTCAGGACGGTGGATAGGAGCCACCTCTGCCACCTGCTCTCCTCAGGGCCACCAGGAGGTCCTCTGAGCTGTGCACTGCCCAGATCCGTGGCCGTCAGTGAGAGGTGGGCACATGAGGACGGTAGCCTGTCCCACCCGGCCTGCAGTGGTGGCCGCCGCATCACCATGCTCCCAGCCTCCTCCAGCTGATTGCACCTCAGAGTGTGTGGGTGGGAGGGTCATTAGCCCCGAAGTGGAGCTGGAGCTGGGGGGCTGGAGCAGGTGAGCGGACGGTGTCCAGGCCGGTGATGCGGGGTTCACAGTGCCTGTCGGGGTTGGGGAGCCGCTCTGCACAAACCCTGTGGCCTCCGCTGCGGCTCTCTGCATAATTTTGAAGTTGATTGGCCTAAAGGCAACTTCCCTTAATCACAGCTGACAAGTCTCTGGTTGGAACAGCAGCTGCGGCCAATTAGCCGAGCTGGTGAGTTGGTTTGTTAGAGCTCGAGCGCCCCTCCCTGGCTGCCCCTCCCACAGCTCCCTAGGCTACTCCGGAGAACCTGCCCCTGCCCATTAGGACTCCTGTCCAGGCCCTGCCAAATATGCAGGTGCCCAGAGCAGGTTGGCACATGGCCTCTGATTCCCAGGCAGGGTGGCCCAGAGCCTACAGCTCCATCCAGCTCCTGGGAGACGGAGGGCTGCTGGCCTGGGGACTAGACTCGGGGTTGCAAAGGAGGCTGCCTGTTTGTGCTAATAAAGTTTTATTGGAACACAGTATTGCCCATCGGCCACTTCCTATCTGTGGCGGCACGGGTGCAGGTGGCCAGCAGAGGTGATGGCATCTACTCCCTGGCCCTTCGCACCAAAGGCTGCTGAGCTCCATTCCACCCAGCAGTGCTTGAGCTTCGGTGGGCATCGGAGTCCCCTGGGCAGCTGGGAAAGATGAGCAGCCTCACACCCTCTGTCCGGCAGCGGACCAGAGGGCCTGGGGGCTGGGTCCGGCCTTCCTCAGCTGCTCCCTGGTGGGGCGCGGGACCGCAAGCCCCACACCCTGGTCAGCCGCCCCCGAGGACCCTTGGGTCCATGCAGCTATTCTGGGTGCAGCTTTCTGTCCCTGTGACAATAGCTGAGGTAATTAGTGTGGAAAGAGGACAGGCTGGTTTGAGAACATTCCAGACCCAAGCTGCCGCGTGGGGACCATCCCTATAGAGGCTTGGGGAAACCGAGGCTCCGGTCACTCCCGTGCCTGAAAGTCCCAAACTGTGAGCTCTGGATCTGTACCACTGATGCTGTGTCCTGGGCCCAGGTGTCTTCCAAGAGTGGGGACTCTGACGCCCTGGTTACCACATCTTGTCTGCCCTGAACCTGGATGGTAGCCCGAGGCCTGCTGTTAGAAACAGTATCCTGTGGGCAAGTCACAGAAGGACCTAGTGAGGGGCCTGGTGGGGGCTTAATGTCTTTCTCCTTCCCCCCAGCATCTGTAGAGCAGGAGTCCAGCTGCCAACATCTGCCTAGGTGTCATCTCCTCCCCCTCCCTGCCCCAGGGTGTGAATTCTTGGAGGGCCAGGGTGGAGAACCATCACAGCCAGGCCTGTGTGGCCAGGTAAGCACTCCAGGGTTGAATGATGGAGGCAGGAAGGTGGTACTTGGTGGTTGTCACCCGCATCTTCCCCCAGACCTGGAGTCCCCATGGCCGGGAGCAGGCGGCCTTCTGTACAGGGAAAGCCGAGCCTCCCAGGGCCAGGCGTGACCCAGACAGGCGGGTGGGGCTGGGTGAGCAGGAGCCTTAGGATTCCGAGCCTGAGTTGTGTGAGGTGGGGCCCCCAGGTCAGATCAGAACGCGGGGCGAGGAGCACAGTTAGTGATTTCGTTCCCCAACTCATGGACAGGGAAACCGAGGCCGAGAGTTTATGACCAGGAATTCCCCAAAGGGACAGGGTGTCCGGGACCTCATGGGAAGGAGCCTGTGAATCCACACATCCTTCCTGGGATTGGAAAGTCCCAGCGCCAGGCCCAGGAAGCCGCTTCCCGGGAGAGTTTGGGGAATTCCGTACAGGCCTGCGCCGACGCTGGGGCCCATCGTTACTTTTACTTCTGGATATTTTTCAACACCGACTTTGTGGTTTCCCAGCCCGCAGGCCAGGGCCAGGCCCACCCCTCGCCTGGCTCTCTGTCCTCTCCCGTGGAGGTCTACGGCGAGCTCTCCTTGTTCAGTCCTTGGTGGCAGTAACACAGCAGGCAGCCTGGAAGCCGCCCTGGGCTGGGGCCGGGGCGCCAGCACCCCGACTCCCGTATGCCGAGTGCCGGGTGCATGTGCTGTGCCCCGGCTCTGCGCCTTCTTCTCAAGGACATGTTCGCAGTGAAGCGTGTGGGCCTGAATGTACCCTGGGGACCTGAACACCGCCCTGCCCTGTGCTGCCGGGAAGTCCCCTGCTGTGCCATGTGTCTGGGCACAGCGCGTCCAGCCGCAGTCTCACGGACAGCGCACTGTGACCATGGGGGTCCCAGGGCCCTCAGAACAGTTGGGGCTTCGCTCAGTGTAGAAGGGGGTGTCATTGATTCTCCTCAAACGCAGAGCCTGCGGTGGGGATGCACTGCACACAAGGACGTAGTCAGCTGGCCTCTCCAACCGCCCCCCCCAGGTGTCCCTGCCCAGCTGTGTGTGCAGTGCCAGCACCATCAACAGACAGGCTGGGTGTGGTGGCGCACACCTGTAATCCCAGCACTCAGGAGGCTGAGGCAGGAGGATTGCCATGAGTTTGAGACCAGCCTGGGCTACAAAGTGAGCTCAAGCCCAGCCTGAACTGCTTATTGAGACTCAGTCTCAAAAAGACAAAAAAAAAAGAGAGAGAGTGGCGGGTTCCCTCTGCAGGGGGCCACAGGGAGCCCTGTCCCCGCTTCCCCATGCGTGTGTCAGGTGCTCCTGATAGAGCTGTGGGGTTGGCTTTGAACAGTAACAAAAACAGCAGATCGGCCCAGCACAGTGACACACACCTGTAATCCCAGCACGTGGGAAGCTGAGGCAGGAGGATTGCAAGTTGGAGCCCAGCCTGGGCAACATAGCAGTTTAGCAAGACCCTCTTTCAGAATAAAAATAATAATTACAAAAGGGCTGGTGTTGTAGCTCATCACAAAGGCCCTGGATTCAATCCCTAGTCATGAAAAACAAAAGCCAACGAGGCAGCCCGAGCTTCTCGAGGCCGAGGGGTTTGCCCGAGGTCACACGGACGAGACGTGGCAGGGCTGGGACTCACACCCACAGCCTCGTCTCTGCTGCATCTGGCACTGCAGGAAGGCTAGTTGGTTGCAGGCTGATCTGGCCACCTGACCTCCCCTTCCCATTTGCCCTTGTTCCCCTGTGGGGGTGCCTTCCCACTCCTGTGGGGTCTACTAGCAGTCACCCCAGTCTGGGTCCCAGCTCTGCCATAAGCCAGCCAGACAGTTACTTAACCTCAGTGCCTCACCTGGAAATTGGGGATCATCACGGCACCTCCTGACTGTGAAGGTTCAGTGGACTCCCGCCTCTGCCACCCCATCAGGCTGCCACTGCACCTGTCTTCTCATCACGCTCCCCTCCCTCTGGGCTGCTGCCATCTGTCTAGACCCAGGTTGGATAGGGGCCCCCAGCCTGTACACTGTATGCCAGGGAGGATATAAAAGGAGGTTTCTCTCTGGCCCAGCTTGGGCAGGCAGGATTCCAGGAGGGGTGTGGCCTCCTTTCGGGCCTAACTCCAAATGCCACCCAGGCTGTGGCATTGGGCACAGAGGAAATGCCAGCGAGGGGTGTGGAGAGGACCAGGCGAGAGAGCCACGGGGGCTAGGGAGCCTAGAGCAGCGTCCAGACCATCGGGACACGTTGCCTGGTTTGGGCTGGGGTGGCCCTGCTGGCGGGAGGACCCTCTGTTGCCAGGGGAAGGGGTGACAGCCACGGATGGCCCAGCTGTCCCCTCAGCCCAGTTTCCTTGCTCACAGGGAAAATATGGGGGCCAGCTGCACCCTCACAAACCTCACAGGAGCCCACCGACCCCCAGTGACCCCAAGACTGAGGGCCGAGGGAGGGATCTGACCATGACCCCAGTGGTGTGTACGGTCCTTTGTTTGTTCATCTAGAAAATGGGCTTCTTGTGGGGCTGCATGGGCTGAGCATGGGATGATACAGGGCCGGCCATGCTGGCTCCTCCGTGGGCGCCTGTGAATGGCGGGTGTCACACCCACCATGCCAGCTCCCTTCCTTCCTGCCCCCCACACCCCATCCTGCTCCATCCTGCCTCAGGGCCTTTGCACAACTGGTGCAGAACCAGGTCTGCAGTGCCCAGCCCAGCATCAGCTCAGCAGGTAGGAACGAACGAACGGGTGAATAAAAGAATGAGTGAGCGAAGGAAGTATTTAATGAATGAATAAACCAATGCCCCAAGCTCTTGAAGTTGGGTGTGTCACCCCCAGTGCGGTCGGAAAACTGAGGCTTAGAGCTTTGGCTCCCCACCCCGGGGAAGAATGGGCTGGAGGCCAGGGCTCCTGGTGGGTGCCACCCGGGGCTGGCATCTGCGTCTGCCCTTCCTCCTCTGGCTGACACGGGTGACCCACGCTCCATGGGTGTCTCTGCCGCTGGGACCTCAGGCTGCTTTAGCTCCTGGTGCAGCGGGCCGCTGGGGAGACGGAGGCGGAGGGTGGGGGTCTCCATGGACACCCCTTGCTGCAGGAGGGAAACGGGCCGCTGGACAGCCAGCTGTGTGCCCGCTGGCGAGTCCCTCCCACCCTGGGCCTTGTCTCCTGGCCCGGGGAACCCTTGGGACAGCCCACATGAGTTCTGGGCGGCCCAGGGTGAGGATACCCAGAGCCCAGCTGACAGGGAGCGGGTGGGAGATGGGAGAGAACAGTACAGGAGGAGTCTTTCTCAGGGGCGGTCACCTGCGCTCCACCCTGCCCTGACACCCCTCAAGATAGTATGCAGAGCACCCTTCTCCCCAGCCCTAATGGGGACAGAGACTCAGCCTCTCGGTGTAGTCCAGGCTGACCTTGAACTCACTATGTAGCCCAGACTGACCTCTTAACTCCCCACAATCCTCCTGCCTCAGCCTCCTGAATGCTGGGATGGCCAGTGTGTGCCGTTGCATTCTGCTTGGGCCGAGTGGTCGTAAGCTCCTACCCCGTGGCAGCCATGCCTACTCAGCATCTGCTACGTACAGAGCGTGGTGAGGACCTGGAGCACAGCTCAGCCCCCCGCCCGTGGCTGGTTCCAGCCGGCGCAGCGGCTCTCCAGCTGCTGAAGAGGAAAGAAATCCGTGCTGAGTAAAGGCTCAGGCAAAGCCTGGGAGGGAGCCCTGCAGAGAATGGGGTGTTGGAGCGCGCCTGCACCTGCCTGGAGCACGCGGGCCCCTGTGGGTGCCTAAGCCATGGCCTTGGGCTGCGAGGGGGCAGCACGGGATGCCAGCGTTGGTGGAGCAGTTGCTCTGCGTGCCCGGTGCCCGTGGTCTTTTCTGTCCGTTCTCAGCCCCCCTCCACGTGGAGGTGCGGCTCCCACTTTCCAGATTGGAGGCCGGGGAGATGCTGCCACCCGCGCTGTCACCCTGCCCCCGCTGGGAGCCTCTGTTTGGAGCTGGGCGAACGTGGCCTCAATTTGCAGCCCTGGGCAGACCTCTTAACCTCTCTGAGCTGCAGCTTCTGTCTTTTTATATATATATATTTGTCCCTCTTTTTCTCCTTTTTTTTTTTTTTTTTGTACTGAGGATTGAGCCCAGGGCCTTTGCACTGAGTGATGTCCCCAGTTCTTGTATAATGATTTTATTTTGAGACAGGGTCTTGTCCATGTTCTTAAACCCTGGCACTGGCGGGCACAACCCTGGGGTGGGGGAGGTTAGCTCTTCCCAAGCTTCCAGGCTGCTGGCTGCAGGCTGGGAAGGAGGCGCAGGTGGGGACAGCGGGGACAAAGGCCCAGGGGAGCCACAGACCCCAAGGCCTACAGGAGGAGCTGAGAGGGCGAGGCGGCCGGGGCCTCTGGAGGAGGAGGAGGACTTGGACTGCGTAGCGGGTGGGGCACGGAAAACGGCCCCGGGGTGGCCGAGGCACTGGGGAGGCTGAGGCAGAGACCGGCAGCGGCAAGGGGCCCCAAGCTGGGTGAGTCGCAGGTGCAGGGGTCACAAGCCTGGAGGCAGGGCTTGGCCTCTCTGGGGTCCAGCCTTTCCACCCCGCCCCCTGACCTGGTCCAGTGGAGGTAGCGCCCCTGGCCATGCCCAGCAGGAACCCCGCCTCCGGGCACCAGGGCAGTTGCTGGGCATCCCAGGCGCCCTCCCCGCCCCCCTGTCCCCCACCCGTACCTTTGTCCCTGCCCAGCAGAGCCGGGTGTTGTCCATGGAGGGGTTTAATTCCTCTTCCCCAGCTCTGGTTCTCCTCTTGCCCTCCCCCTCCCCTTCTAGGCTTGGACAAATTCAGCGTTTAAAAATAACCCTCGGATCTCGGCACAGCAGTCCCTGGCTGACCCGAGGGGCGGACCGCAGCAGTGCGTGCCCGGCTCGTGACTCTGGGCTGGGCTGGGCTGGGCTGGGCTGGGTAGGGAAGGGTGCGGGGAAGCCCCGTCCTGCGCACGTCACGTGGCACCTTCTCTGGCTTTCGGGCCATCAGCTGCCTTCTGGGCAGGTTCCCAGCTGTCCAGGAAATGGAACCTGGGACGATCACTGACCTTGCCCCTGGCCCCCGTGTCCCTGGGGGCCGGGGACAGAGGCTTGCACAAGCCTTTGGTGCTGGGGGCCGAGCCTGGCTTAGCCTTCGATCCCTGTGCTTGTGTGGCCTGGTCACCTCGCTTCACCTCTCTGAGCCTCAGTTTCCTCCCCTGAGGTGATCAGCCTCATCCCTGTTGGGACACACTTCCGGGCGGGGCTGCTCAGCCCCAGGGCTCAAGGCGCTGCTATTTGAACACCCCGACAGAGAGGCCTGAGGGTCCCCAGAGGCTGGACTCACCCAAGCCTGACACTCCTGAGCCCGGGCCCCTGTGTATCCCCACTGGCCAGGCCCTGACCCAGGACCTCCCAGCCCTGGTAGAGGAGCCGCCGGTGGGTCGCAGGAGGTGGAGCTGGTGAGCACCCTGTTTGGGGCATAGGGACCCCTCCCCATCCCTGGCACCCAGTGGAGACCCAGCGTGTGGGCCCTGGGAGGACAGTAGCGGGATAAGCGGATGAGCGCGCAGGCGAGGCAAGTTTCCGGGAGGAGGTGCTGCTGCCCCAGCTTCTCCGGGGCTGCATGACTTGGGCTGATGGGAAGGAGGGGCGGGCACCCTTGGGGTGGGTGATGCCGTCCAGTACAAGCCAGGTGCTTGAGACTTCGTAGGGAAGGAGGACCATGGGAGGCACCTCACCACATCAGCTCCCCAGCTCTAGGACTGGGGCTCCGGCTGCAAAAGTGGGGCAGCGCTGCCCTGCAGGGGCTACAGGACCCAGGAGTGCAGACCCGACTCAGCCTCACAGGCCTTGGCTTCCCAGGATGGGGCCACAGGGCCCCAAACCCCGCCTGCAGGGTGTTTCCCAGGCCTATCCTGAAGTCTCCCCAGAGTGAAATCCTTTGCTAAGCGCTCCAAAGCTGTAATCTCCATTTATCCTCCCAGGGAGGCTGAGGAGGAGGCCGGGGTGCAGAGCAATTAAGCAGCTTGCAGCCTGGAGAGCGGTGGGGCAGGCAGGAGCAGGGGGCCCCGCCCTGGGCCCCGGCAGGGCGCTGCTCACCAGCCGGCATCCTGGGACCCAACAGGACCTCCCAGCCCTGGTAGAGGAGCTGCCGGTGGGTCGCAGGAGGTGGAGCTGCATTTGGAGGCATTTGAGAGCCATCGCTCTTTCTTCTGGCAGAGCTGACCTCCCAGGGATGGCATCTGTCACCATAAGTTCCAAAAATGCCTCTGCCACTGAGTGTTCAGTCTCAGGGTCACTCAGGTGGCCGCCCCTTCCTCTGCCCTACAGCCCTGGCTTTGACCATGGCAGACACAGGGTGTGGGGCTGCTGCAGGACCCAAGCCCGGCCCCCTCTGCCCTACCTGGCCAGGCCAAGCGCTCAGGAGGACAAGGTGGCCCTGGGGTGGCTCCAGGGGCCCAGAGCAGGGGCCTGGGACGGTCCCAAGCCAGCAGAGGGGCCCTGTGTAGACTGCGCACCGTCCTTCCTGTCCCCTCTGACAGAGCCGTGCTGCCTGGGGTCACATCTCTGCCCCCAGTGTCGTCTCTTGGGCTGGAGCAGGAGCAAAGGGCTTTGTCCAGTTGTCACCAAACCCCTGGAGGGGAGCAGGGACTCAGAAGAAGGTGAAGCAGAGCAGCCAGGCAGGAGGGCCTGGGGCCCCCCACCCTGCCATCCCGTCCTGCTTTTTGTCTGCAAACCTGAGACTTCCTCTTGGGGACTCATAAGAGGATCGTGCATAATCTGTCTCTGTGACCAGCTGGTCGTGCCGGGCGCGGTGCTCCCGGTCCATCTGGGCTGTGTGTGTCAGAGACCCCTTCTTTTTGAAGACTGAGTAACCACACTGTCCACGAACACTCGGCTTGTGTCCCCGGGCTCCTGTGAATACTTGTGCTGGAACGTGGGTGTGCAGGCCCCTGCTAGTGCCCCTGCCCCCGGCCCCTGGGGCACAGTTCTCCGCTGGAGTCCTGTGTCCTGTTCTTGGGTGCGTCCTCGGAAGGTGCACAGCATTCTAAGCACTCGTGTGTGTGTGTGCGCATGCGTGTGTGCCCCTTTGTGAGTACTCACGCGTTGCCAGCATCCTTGCTGGAAGGCGCGGGCGGGGTAGTTCTTCCGAGCTCCGTCCACCTCCGTGTAGTTCACCACTGGGCCCCTAATGCGGGGCTGCACGGTTACCACCATGACGGCCCAGCAGGGAGCTGACCCCGAGCCGTCCCGGGCGCACAGGTTCCCGGCCTCCTCCTGGGTCCCGGCCCGCTCATTTCCCCCGCCTGAGCCCCGCCTGCCCTTGCTGAGGTGTCCTTAAGCCACGGAAGGCACAGGCTGTGACGGGGACGTGTGGGGAAGTCGCCCATTCCAGAGAGATCAGATGGCGGCTTTGCTTCCGTCCTCCGGCCCCCCAGCCTGCTCGCGCCTCCCTACCTCTCCCCGCCACGCCACCGCCACGACGCAGCAGCCCACACACCCTGGGTCTCGTTGACAGGCAGCGCTGGGCAGATCGGGTCGATGCAGGCCAAACGATGACCAGTTGTGGGCAGCGGTCCTGGAACGCGCTCGCCCTGCTCTTCGCGCTGCTCTTCTCAGCAGGTAAGGGGGGCAAGCGGTGCGGGGCCCTTAGGGGCAGCGGGGCCGTCTCAGATGTGGCTGCCTTTAGGGGCTGCAGGAGAAGCCCCTGTCCACGTCCTCCCCTTCAGCCCTGCGGGCGGATGCTTGGTGATGACGGGTCACCCCCGTTACAGGTGGGGAAACTGAGGCTTGGGGCAGGAACTGGCTTGCCTGAGACAGCACAGCTAGCAGGGGACCGGGGTTCCACTAGCCGCCCTCCCTGCCATCCTCCGAGTCTCAGCTGGGGTCACAGTTGGCTAGAACTTTACTTGTAACGATGGGGATCAACCAAGCCCTATGCTCTTCCAAAGCAGAGCCAACCAGAGAGACCCCTTGTGTCCCCCAGGCCCCAGGGGGACCCACAGGGCCAGCTCCCCATCTCTCTCCCCTCTCAGTACCTGCTCACGGCCTCGAGCTCCAGCTAAGCCTGGTGGTTTCCAGCACTGCACCTCCGCTGGGTGCAGCTCAGCAGGCCTGGGAGGGGCTGGGTTGGGGTGCAGGGCAGAGCTGCCAGGACACAGGGCTGAAGTCCAGCCAAGGCCGGGACTCGGGCCACTGTGTGCCAGCTCCTCCCTTCTCAGGTGACCCTGTGCATTGGCTCGCAGGGTCCTCCCTCTCCTTCAAGTAAGGAAGTTTGGGGCTCAGAGAAGGACTTTGACCTGTCCCAGGTCACCCAGCTGGGGAAGGGAGACCGAGATGGCTTTTACTGAGCACTGTCCTCACCAGGAGCGACCCTGAGCTCTGCTGGGCCCTGGCTGGGGATCCAGGATCAGCTTACACTCTGCTGTTTGCAAAGTGCCCCTGAGAGCCCCTGGCCACCCGGGAGGCCACCATCTTCCACCGGCGAGGCCCAGGTGGCCTTGGCCCAGGACTCCCACCCAGTCCCCAGCTCCTAGCCCAGAGCCCCATGGAAGCAGCACGCTTCCTGGTCGTTGCCAGGTGCCAAAGCGAATGCCTCAGACTGGTGGCTAAGGTGGGCTGTGACGCTTCTGCCTGTCCCCTTCCCACCCAAGACTTGGAGGCCCAACTCCAAAGCGTAGCACACGGTGTCCCTGTCACTCCCCACGGCTCCTCCAGGCAGGCAGGTCCCCACCCACATATCAGCTTCCCAAGCGCTTGTGAGTTAGACTGTGCCCCCACCCCCAGCCTCAGGTGTGGACAGGGTGCCAAGGGGCCGGACTCGGCCGTTCTGACCACGGAGGACGGAGCTGGGAGCCCCACTTCTCTCCTCCGCGGCTGGCACATCCACTGACACGTACCTAATCCCTCTGTGTCTCGGGGTCAGAGATGAGGGGGCCTGGAAGGCTCCCTGACTCCCACACCATCCCCGTAGAGGAGCGGGAGGAGGAGGAGAGCCCCACTGGGGATGCCTGCAGGATTTCATGCCAGCTGCCCAAGCCAGCCTGTGCATCCTGGTGCCTGGGGTGCCACCCACCTGCCACCAGCTGGGTCCCCTGTGTGACCGGACAGCAGGCAAGCACCAGGGGGCCTGCGGCCTCAGGCGAGGCAGAGCTCCCCGCAGGAGGTGCAGCAGCCCATTTCCCAAGGACACCGATTAAACCCAGGACTGGGGCTCCAGGGTGTGCATCGGATGCCTTTAGGATCTTGCTGCCCCTGTTTCTCCATGGACGCTCTGCTGCTAAATACTGTCCTGCAGAGAGCAGACGCGGGCAGGGCCCAGGGCGCTCTGGGCCTACGGCACCAAGGCTGCAGGCCCTGAGACGTGGGAAAGGGGGACCTGGGCCTTGCACCCTGGCTTTCAGTGGCTCCAGTGTCCAGAAAGAGGCCACGAGAGCCAAGTCCTTTAGGCCCCTGAGCCGCAGTCTCTCTGCCCCTCAAGCCTGTCTGCCGGGGAGGCTGTGGGGTTATTGGGGCGGGGCGGGCCCCGTCCAGCCGGTGGCTCTGTCTTGCAGGCCTGTCCGCGCATTTCCGGGTGTGTGAGCCCTACACAGATCACAAAGGCCGCTACCACTTCGGCTTCCACTGCCCCCGGCTCTCGGACAACAAAACCTTCATCCTGTGCTGCCACCACAACAGCTCGGTCTTCAAGTACTGCTGCAACGAGACGGAGTTCCAGGCGGTCATGCAGGCCAACCTCACGGCCGGCTCTGAGGGCTACGTGCACAAGTGAGTGGGGTCGTCGGTGCGAGGAGTCCGTCCTGGGGGACGCTGCTGGGAGGACGGGCCGGTGGGGAGCCCGTGGAGTCTCAGGTGACCAGGGTCCCTGTCCTGCTCTCTTCTCTGGGCATCAGTCTTCTCATCTGAAAAATGGGCACATCAGGGCCATGGCAGGCCTGCTGCAGGGGGTAAATAGCATCACGGATAGGCTTTCAGGCCTGGAATCTACTGGGCTCAAGGTCCTTCTTTCACTGGTATTCATTCAACAAGCACTGACTGATGCTGTTGAGTCAGAGATTACTCATGTGGGGCAGCCATCTCCTTAAGGTTCTCAGAAAGCCCTGAGCTCGGACCCTGGGGGAGGAGACCGCAGGGTGGAGAGGGGTTTTCGGGCAGAACAGTGGTGGCAGGATGCTAACTAACCCAGGGGGATGGAAGCCGCGTGTGTTTGTCTTAGGAGCGAAGCTGACCGCCTCTCACACGGTGAGACCTGTTTGCATTTCTTATATGAGCTAGCTGCTTGTGTCTTTCACTGTTTTCTAGTCACACGTTTCGTCCTTTACTTATTTGTTGATAGAAACTTCACACATGAAAGAAATGAGTAGCAGGGCACGGTGACCCACGCCTGTAATCCCAGCACTTGGGAGGCTGAGGCAGGAGGATCACCATGAGTTTGAGGTCGGCCTGGGCTACGTAGCAAGTTCAAGACTAGACTGGACACTGTCTCAAAAAAAAAAAAAAAAAAGAATTCACTATTTTCTCAGTATGCCTTTGACTTTAGGCTGCTTTTTCCTTGGGCCTAGTTTTAATCATACTATCACATCATTTCAGAACTTTTGGTTTTATAGTTTTTGGGATTTCATCATTGCGAAGATAGCTTTTCCTGTTTGAAACCATTAAAAAATTCCCCCGTGTTTTCCTCTATCTCTTTTGTTTTAACTTTTTCTCTCTAAATGTCTGGCTTATCATTTATACCCAGCTTATTTTGACTTTGTTTTGTCTTCAAATAGCTGACGCTTCGTTTAGAGCAAATGAACGATGTCAGTTTTGCATGTGGAACCCAATCTTACTATTTTTGTCTCATTGTTCAGAGCCTCGTCCACCTCTCTGTCGGTCTGGCACACAAGCCCAGCCGTACTGTCAGGTGCTGCCTCTGAGGGCAGGGTCGCTGGCCATTCTGCAGCTGCTCACTTGCTGTAACTTCCATGTTAGCCGCTGTGACCCGCGTGTTTCCCCCGTGACCTGCGTGTTTCAGCGTCTTCTTGGCATATTCTGGCTCTTAGTCACTTGGTAGAATTAGCTTGCGTAGTCCCCTCCCTGCCCAAATGAAATCTCAGAATAACACACGAAACCAGCGGGCTGGGGATTTAGCTCAGCGGCACAGTGCCTGCCTGGCAAGCGCGAGGTCGTGAGCTCGATTCCCGGTACCGAAAAAAAACCAAAACAAAACCAACAAAAAAACCCCACGAAACCAGGTAAGTCCGGTTAGCATTTCCTACCGGGAGCCTGTGGAATTCATCGCTTGACCTAAGAAATGACCTTTCCTGATGTTAAATATTTCCACCCAAGGACGCGATCTGCAGTCCCGCTGGCCCGAGGGACCTTTCATAGCAGCTTGGGCCTCTCCTGTGGCTGCTGCCGCCCTCTCCTCGTTTATCCCAGGGTCTTTCCCCAGACCTTCTCTTGGGCCTGTTCTCCAGGTGGTGAAAGCCGACCATTCCCCACCCGGGCTCCTTTCTGAGATCTCAGGGCGACCCTTCCCAGGGCGTCCTCCGTGGTTTCCAGCCACACCGTGTGTGAAGGACGATCGTCCTGTTCCTCGCTTTCCATTCACACTTCCTGTCCTTGCCAGTGCGCTGCAGACTCTCCTGGCCAGGCATCTTCCTTCCTCCTGATTTTAATAGGTGGCTCCCAGGTTTTCCCAGGAAACAGGAGGCTGAATGCTCGGGTGGATGTGTGCTTTCCTGGTAGGAGAAATGGGCATGGAAAGAGTGTTTGTTGAGTGACTATTGAAGGGCTCGGGGTGCTGTTGGGGGCCGTGGGTCTGAGCCCGGGTCGTGCTGTCTGGTGTTGGGCGGGCTCTGCTGCTTCCTCTGGGGAAGGGGCTGCTTGCTCCTGGGGTCGGGCGGGAGACGCAGACCCCTTGGCTGTGGCCCGGGCTCCCCTCCTCCGAGTCCGGCTCCAAGCCCGCCTTCCTGCCATGTACGGAGTTTCCCCTGAATATCCTGCCATCTGCTCAGCCTCAGAATAATTCCGTGTGTGAAGCTGCTCAGCAAGCCCCGTCCCTCACAGCGGGCCTGCAGCCTGGGCTGTAACTTGGCCCAGCTCTGGGGAACGACCCAGGAGGCCCAGGGGGAATGTGGCGATCGGGGCTTTAATTTGAGGTTTTGTGCCTTGGCACTCCATGGCGGGGCTTGGAACCTCACGCTCTCTTCCTTGAGCCCCCGAGGGCAGTGCCGCCCCAGCCCCCATCCATTTCACAGGCGAGGAGGCTGAGGCAGGAGCGCTGAGTCACCGAACGATGAAGGCCCAGCAGGGCCACGGGGGTGGGGGTGACCCTGGGGTTAGAAGCCGCTGGAGTCATCCTGGAGTGTCCGCCACGGAGGTGGATCTGGGGGGGGGATGGGCCGCAGGCAGGGCCGCTGCACAGCCTCGCTGGCAGGGTGAGAGGTGGGGCAGCAGCCCTGGTCCCTGCCTCTGATCGCCAGGAGCACCTGTTCCCTGAATATCCTGCCATCCACTCCAGGAGAACCCGCAGGAGACACACCAGGAGCACCCGCAGTGTCTCCTGATGGTGCCAGAGGGGTGCAGCGTCGCCCCGGCTGAGACCCGCTGCCCTGGCGAGGTTCTCTTCGTCCTTGTCGTCCTGTTCCCCGCTCCCCAGATGTGGGTTCAGGGTTAGGGGCACCAGATCCAGGACCTTACCTTCCCCGTCACTGTGCTGCTGTACCCCTGGGGCAGGAGGACCCAAACGTGTGCCCGGGTGCCGTGGGCAGAGGCCCCGGTGACAGAGTGGGGCGGAGACAGTGGAGGCCTCCTGGGTGGGGGTGCACAGGCCTCTCCCCAGGGCTGGGGCCAGGGCTTAGGCTGGCTTTGCACACAGGGACACGTGGTTGTTGAGCAGGAACCCTGGGCCTGCACCCCACCAAGGGGGCTGGAGCCCCCACCCAGCCGCCTGGGCTCAGGGGCTGTAGGAAGGGAGAGCTAAGCCTGGGAGCCGTACCAGGCAGGCACTCAGGCAGGGTGCAGCAGGTGACAGGACCGGTCTAGGGAGCAGGACAGGGCGGTGGCCAGGATCCAGTGTGCGGTCTGTTGCCAGCGGTGTGGCTGGGCCTGCGTGTGTGAGCGGCCAGGCAGGGCCCCCTGCTCAGTGCCCGTCCTGCCTGCGGGCCGGGTTGCGCTGTGGCACAGGTCCATCTAGGCACGGCGTCGCGTTGCTGCCCTGCAGCTCTGGGAGGAAGCACAAAGGGCAGGGCAGAGGCTGGCGAGGTCGGATCTGGGGCAGGACTTGCCCGAGGCTGGGATGGCGTGGGGCCTGGCATCCCCGAATCCCAGGCAGCCTAGTGCCCGCCAGTGGCGCTGTCAGAGGGGCCAGGCCAGCCGTGACCCCCGGAGAGGCACCCAGAGCGGAGTGGCACAGGCTTCGGCGCCCACCCCTGCCGGTGAATCAGCAGGAGGCGGTGGTGACAGGACGCAGAGCTCTGCCGCCTTATTTATTTGTGTTTTTCCAGAGGAACAGAATGGTTTGTTTTGGTTCTGGCTTCCTGGCAGAGAGGCAGCGGGCAGAGGAGAGAGAGGAGGCAGCATCAGCGAGCCCACTGCCAAGGCTGATGCCCTCTTCCAGCCACGAGGGGGGCCTGGGGAGGCCCGCGGGGCGATGTTCACACCCAGTCTTCCCACCAGGGTGCTGGGCACCAACTTCAGGGGTCAGACAGCGACCCGGCAGTTCAGCACCAGACCCAGGAGGGAGGAGTCTTTCAGGGAGTGGTTGGCGCTGTCCAGGGTGGCCAGGCCTCTGGGGGTGGCTGAGGGTGTCATCAATGTTTGTGGGATCCTGCGAGGGTCGAGGGGCCCCAGGGGCGAGGGCAGGCATCTACGAAGACAGAACCCTGCTCCAGGGCCTGCGTGAGCAGCGGAAGGCTAAGGCCCCTCATGGCCAAGGACAGAGCCCTGGTGGGCAGAGAGCTTCAGGCACAGCAGGTGTCACTGATTCCCTCTATCCAGGCCACCCGAGCACACCGCTCACCAGGGCTGACACCAGAGAGGGTGGTCTGGAGCCACACAGGACGCAGCAGGCGGGTGCAGCTCCAGGCACGGTAGTGCTGAGGTCACCAGCACCCCTGGTGTCCCCAGGGCTGGAGACACGAAGGCCATCTTGCCATCCGTGTCCTCCCCGGCTGTGTCCGGGATGTCCCTATGTCTGGGTTGCCTGGTCACACTGGCCCATGCGCTGCCCCATGCCCTGTCCCTCCCAGAACCCAGATGAGGCTTCATGAGTTGCTCAGGACCCTGGGTCTGAACCCTGCTGGCTGTCACGTGGCCAACCCTGTTTCTACCGGGAGCGGGCAACACCCCTGCCGAAACACTCTCTGGCCGGGGGCAGCGTGTACTGTGACACTCATAGATTTCAGATGCCTCAGTTTAACTGGCCCAAAGCTATGCTGCACCATGGACCACACCAGCCCACCTGTCTTGCTGTGTGACCTTGGCCAAGGCACTTTGCCTCTCTGGGCTAGAAGGGATTGAGCAGTCAGTCCGCACTTTAATTGCATAGGCCAGCACTTCCTGGGTCCTTTCTCTTTTTTTCTTTTGTTTTTTGTTTTTTGTTTTTTTGGTACCAGGAATCAAACTCAGGACCTTACGCTTGCCAGGCAGGCACTTGTGCCGCTGACCTATATCCCCGGCCCTGGGTCCTTTCTCTTCCAGGCCCTGCTGTGATTTCTGGAAGCCTCAGGGTCACACCTCAGAGCAGAGAGCGTACTCATGCTCACTTCACAAGTGGGGAAACTGAGGCTCAGTTTCCCACAGTCACAGAGAGCACTTTGCAAGCCCGGATTTGGGTTCATTGGACTCTGACTTCCTGGCCGTTGTCGCCATGGTTACCACCTGCCCCTTGCTTCCAATGCAGCCAGCACCAGGTCCACGCTGCACCCTGGCTGTCCGAGCTGGGGGCCTAGAACTTTCCTCCTGCGCCTGCCAGCATAGAGTGGGGACAGCGACAGGGATCGGGACAGGGCCGGGACCGGGCGGGACATCCATCCCCGTCCCGACCGCAGCTGCACTTGCTCAGGGAGATGCACAGCGCAATCCCTGCCTGGGGAAGGCTTTGTTTATTGCTTAGGAAACACCAGAAGAATCTGACTCAGTCCGTCTCCCAAAATATCCGGCGCCTCGCGGCTGTGGCTTTGCCCCCACGCCAGCCTGGCTTTTATCTTCCACTGCTGACAGCACGCGGCGGAGACGGCGTCTGCGAGGAGCTCGTTCCCAAATCATGTATTTTCAGTTCGACTGTAGAAATTGTAATAGATCAGAGCCTTCCCAGCCGGGTGGTGCGAAGCCAGGCACCCAGGGTGGCCTCTCCCAGCGGGGTCTTGCAGGGCAGGAGGTGGGGTGCGGGGAGCGCTGCTGCAGGGCCCAGCAGGCCTGGCAGGACACACGCATGTGCGCGCACGTAAGCACAACTGCCTTTGCCGTGCACCAGGCTCAGTGGGAGAAGCTGGCCCTGTCCTCAGCTCCTGGTGGAGGTGAGCAGGGACGTGGGGGGCCCCTGCCAGGCAGCTGTGGGCACCTCCTCTCTGGACATCTGTCCTAGGTTTCATTTTTAATTTTTTTGAGACAGGGCCTTGTTACATACTTGTGGTGACCCTCCTGCCTCAGCCTCTCCAGAGTGCTGGGATCACAGGTGTGCACCGCTGCACTTGGCTTTCACCTGCCCTAGGTTTGACCTTTAAATTTCCCTGAGATTCCCAGGGGCCTCGATCTGAGTCTCAGCCTTGGCATTGCCAACTCGATAGTCTGTGGTTCTTATTTCCTGTCTATAAAGTGGGGCCACAGCTCCTGAGGCGGGCGTGGCGGCTGGATCAGAAGCCCAGGCTCAGCATCGCCGCCCATGGCCTGGTCAGGGGTTGGTGATGCACACAGAGAGTCTGAGCTCCAGCGAGTGTGTCACAAGCCCTCGCTCTGGGGCAGCTTCGGGAACATCTCGAGGCAGACAGTCCTGCAGGGTGAACCGCCCTTGGTGTCTTCTCAGGAACCCGAGGGAGGCTTAGACCTACACTGGGCACCCAGAGGGCTTCCTGGAGGAGGTGTTGGCCCGGCTGAGACTCACACAGGAGACAGAGGAGTCCCAGCCAAGGAGCAGCTTGGGTCAAGGCCCAGGGTCAGGAACACCACAGGTAGAGGGGGTCCGTCCCCCAGGACCTCCTGTGGTGGCCCCCGGGGTAGCACCTGGGCACAGTGATCTGGGGACGATGCCCTTCCCGGGCAGTGGGCAGCTGTGCAGTACAGAAAGCAGGGCGAGCCTGCCCCTGGCGTGGCAGCGTGGGATCCCTCCCTCTGGGCGGTATCTGCACGCAGCTGCCCGCCTCCCTCCACCCACCAGAGCTGCTGCCATGGGAACCAGGAAGAAGCCCTGCAGGGGGCACGGGAGAGAGGCTGCTGGGGAGGACAGAGCTAGGCTGCTTCCTCCAACGGCGGGGACCCCTTCTTTCCAATCCTGCCCCCGCTCGCTGAATCGGGCTCCTGGCCTCTTCTCCCGGGCAGGAACTCTGCCCCAAACTCTGCCTCCAGGCAGAGCTAGTGTCCCCTCCAAATAAGTCAGCCAGAGGCCTGCCAGTCACTCACACTTTAGCATGAACAAGTCCCTATGACTGTTGCAGGCTTCATGGCAGTGGTGGCTGGCAGAGGGGGCCAAAGGAGGGAGCAAGGATGGAGTTAGGGGGTCATGCATCCCTCAGGCAGGTGTTAGGCCTGAGCACCTGCCCTCAGGCCGCCCATGCTAGGGGCTCAGAGTTAGAAGGCCTCTCACTGAAGGTCTTCAGGCTCAGCCTAAGGTCTTGGCCAAGGTGGGAGTACAGGGTTGCAGCAGGGCAGGGAAGACCACGTCCTGGCCCCTGGCCCAGCCCAGGAGGGAGTCCAGGACCCCAGGAGTGCATCCCCCGCCAAGCTAGAGGGCTCCAGACGTGAGCCCAGGCCTCACAGGCTTCTCCTCGGGCCCAGAGGCAGCCACGGGGCTCCCAGGCCGCGCAGTGGAGGATGAGCCCCGAGTCTCCTGCAGGGTCCCTGCTGGAGGGGGGACAGCAGCACGTACAGCCAGACGGGCCTCTGCCCCTCGAACACCCGTCGGAGCAGATGCTGGCGGAGCAGCAGGGAGCAGGTGCTGCGCTGTGCTTCAGAATCCACGGCTCAGGATGGGGCAGGGGGACCCCAGTCACGGGGACTGCTGGCCAGCAGGGGCCAGGGCGTCCAGAGGGCGGGGGCTCCCATGGATAGGGGCAGCAGGCACAGCCCCGTGCAGGGGGGTGGCCGGGTGGCTCTTGGGGGAGCTCAGCTGCACCGGGCCGGGGCGTCTGCAGTGCAGTGTTGAGGCTCCCATCCTGGTGGGGAGCTGTAGGGTGAATGGATGAGAGAAATGGCAGAGGGGGCTTGGGGTGCCCGCAGTGCAGCCCCGTGAGAGGACCCCCAGGGTGGGGACGGAGGGCAGGGAGGCCAGAAAAGCAGTGGCTGGTGAGTGTAGGGGGTGGTGAGCCAGGGCCTGGGTCCTGGCTCCTGGGAGGAGAATTTGCGGGGCTCTGGGGCCTGGAATGAGTCTGGAAGGAGCACCGGCTGGGATCCAGGGGCAATGGCGTGAGGCGGCCCTGTGATGACAACTGTCCAGCGAGCAGCCTTCCCCGGGTCGTGAGACCAAGGCCACAGGGCAGGGGCAACCCAGGTGCAGGCAGGGAGCCACAAGCCAGTGGGAGGGCACCCTGAGGTGGAGGGAGCCCCAAATCCCCGGCTTGGGGAGTGTGGATTCCCCACCACAGCACCAACGGTAAGAAAAGCTCGGACCCTGGCCCAAGAGCGCAGGGTGGGGGCTCGGGGAGGGTGGCGGAGGAGGCTCAGACCCTGCGGGCGAAGAGGTATGGCTCCCCAGGCTCACACTCTGTCCTCTGTCCCCAGCAACTACACCGCCCTGCTGGGAGTGTGGATCTACGGCTTCTTCGTGCTCATGCTGCTGGTCCTGGACCTCCTGTATTACTCGGCCATGAACTACGACATCTGCAAGGCGTCCCTGGCACGCTGGGGCATCCAAGGACGCTGGATGAAGCAGGACACACGGCGGTGGGGGGACCCTGCCCGGGCGCCACGGCCAGGGCAGCCGGCCCCGCAGCCCCAGCCTCCCCCAGGGCCCCTGCCTCAAGCGCCGGCGCCCCAGGCCGTGCACACACTGCGGGGAGATGCCCACAGCCCGCCGCTGATGTCCTTCCAGAGTTCGTCCGCCTGGTGAGTGAGCGCCCTTGACTGCCGTGGCCAGGGGTGGCTTTTCCTGGAAAATGCTGGGTGGTCAGGTCTGCCATGCTGGCCCCACCAGTCCTTGATGATTTGCTTTTCTTATTGTTGGCCAAGAGGGATCTGAAGCTGCCCGTGGCGGTGCACACATGAGAGTCAGGGGAGGTGGACACAGCTCCGGAGCAAAGCTTGCTTGCAAACTCACTGCACTTAGAGCCTGGTGTGAGATGTACTGGCACTGAATGTTTGGTGGAGCTTAGAGGTTCCTAGCTGGCAAGGCAAAAGGTGGAATTGGATGACTGTTTAGGTTTTTAGGGTGTGGTCAAAGGAAACCAATCAGTCAGTAGCTAGGGAGATTTTTCAGCATGAGGTGATAAAATAAATTGTGCAGACCTTGAGGCGCTCAGCCATGCCTCAGGGGAGAAGGAGGAGGCCGGCAGGGAGGGGTCGGGCTGACAGGGTCCAGATTGGGCCTCCTCCACGGCAACTCCCATTCCTTTCTGCGGGGACCTGCGCCCAGGGACCAGACCTGGGTTCCGAGGCTGGTGCGTGGTTGGGGCTGAGCTGCAGCCGGGTTCATGGAGGTCACGACTTGAGTCCAGCTGCCAGGTCTTCCCAGAGCTCCTCGCTGCAAAGTGTAGCCATCTGCCGGGCAGGCCAGCGGCTGGGCCCAGGGCCAGCTCTGCCATTCCCAGCTCCTTTGACCCCTTTGACCTTGCCTCCCACCCTCCAGGAGGAGTCAAGGGTCAGAGAGCCCCTCCTGGGGCAGTCCTGAGGCTTCAGCTACACACCGGCCAGTGGGAGCGGTGTGGCGGTCCTTCCCTGCGTCCTCTCTGGAGGTGCATCCAAGCCTGTTAATGCTCATTTAAATATCTTTCAGGTAGTGACCTTTTCAATAATGAATGGCTTGAATAATTAATCAAATGCACTTAAACCAGCCTGTGCTTATTGATCGCGTAATTGCCACATTTATCATACAGGAGACGGACTCGGCCCTGCTTGGCTGTCTGACAAATGTACACAGAGCCTGTCCTCAGGGCGGGGTCCCAAGAGCCGGAAAAGCCGGTCAGCGAGGGGTCCATGGCCGGCCCAAGGGTCGGGTGTCCTGGAATGTGGGTGTCTGGATACAGACACCCGGGAGTGTGTGCCATACTGGTGTCCTGTGACCACGATTCAAGAGCCACCGGAAGACATCACACATAATCACGATGCTGGACAGCGCATGGCCTGTAGTTGAAAAGGCGGCGCCGCCCCCAGTTCCGGTGCGCTCTACGCATGCGTGGAACAGCGTGTGCCCATGGGTCCGCCCCCTGGGAGGGTGTGCTTGCACAGCGTGGGCACCCTGCGTTCCGCAGCCAGGCATCGACCTGCCCGCCAGGCCCCAGGGTGCCCTGGAGAGGGCGTCCTGAGTTCCTTCTGCTGCCTCAGCAGCCCCCGCCGCAGCCGCCCTGAATGTCCTTCCCGTGTACAGCGATCCTCTACACCCAGCCTGCGCCCTCCTGCCCCGGTCCTGCCCTGGGCTTGGCTATGTAGTGATCTGAGCTCCCCCAGCACGTCTGCTTCTCACGCGGGAGTGGGGGCTGACAGACACCACCTGCCACCTGACTCCTGGGGGAGCTGGAGCGGGGAGGTAGTGGGCCAGAGCGAGCACCAGGGGAGGCTGAGGCAGGAGGCCAGGTCACCAGCTGGGCAGGGCAGGTGTGGGAAGCAAGGCTGACACCAGGCTGCTGTGGGGGTCAGGGGTCAATCCAGGGTCATTGGGGCACCCAAGCTGAGTGACCAGGGAGCACCTGGGCCACCCGCAGGGCTACCTCCTAGGCCCTGGCTCCCTCACCAGAGAGCCCTGGGCTGTCGCTTAAGCTGTGGTGCCACAGCCATGGTGTCTGGGGTGGTCTCTCCTGGTGAAGCACAGCCCGGCCTCCCATCCCGGGACACTCACTCCGTCCGTCTTGCCAGCCGAGATTGCGATCAGCCTGCCCATGGGGGGCAGGGGTCCCATCACCAGGCAGCTGAGGCATTGCGGGGCCCGCACCCTGCCGATGTCAGATGTCAGTGTAGCTGAGTTAAGTAGCTGCCTGGGGCCCAGGGGTGCAGTGGTGGCACGAGGATGCCTTCACTTAATTTCACAGAGATGCTGGGATTTCCTCTTCCTTTGCTGGAAAGTGAACTTGGACTGTGATGGCTCTCTCTCAGCCTCCCCTGGCACGGTCCCCCCAGGTGCCTGGTCCCTCCCTCCCAGCTGTCCCAGCTCGTTTCCTGAGTGTGACCGGGAGCCCAGCATCCCGGCTGGCACTGCCTGTGACGTGGCTCCCTAGTGACACAGTGCCTGGGGTGCATCGCTCCTGGTGGCAGCCACCTTCCCCAGCTTGGTGTCCCTTGCACACTCGAGGCTCCAGTTTCTCCTCCCCAGCCTCGTAGCCTTAGCAGTCATGGGACTCAGGCGAGTGTCCTACACTCCTGCCCCCCAGGCCACCTGCCACCCGCTTCTTTGTCCCCGCAGTGGCCATACGTCTTCACACAGCAGGTGCCCGGCGAGCCCTGTCTGTGTGGTGCAGGGCAGGGTCTGTTGTCACTGTCACCATTGCCAGTGCTGATGCTATTCTGTGCCCACCTGGTTTCAGACCCCAGCTCCACCCCAGGCCCCCTGCTGGCCCCGAATCCAGTCCGTTTGGAACTCAGTGTCCTCATCTGTGAAGTGGGCGTGGCTGCGGTCCTGACCTCGGGGTGTGGCTGGGGGGACCCCCTGTTTCCTCCCTCTGGAAGCCCCAGGCTTCATCAGCCTCAGAGGAGTGGCCGGGGATCCAGGTTACTGCTCAGCTGTTGGACGCTGGTATAGTCAGGTTTACAAGGGAAATAATACAGGAAAACAATTTATAGTAGTCACCCAAAGAGTCACATTCAAAGAAAGCGCAGGAAATCTGTCCGCACACTGAAGACCAAAAGAATCCAGTTGAGGACCTGAATCCCATGGCAATGTCCTTCATGAGTCCAGCTGAAGACCTAGAGCCCATAACAATGCCTCCCACGAGTCCAGCTGGAGGCCTAGAGCCCACGACAGTGTCTCGTGCAGGCCTGTTTCACGGATCTGTGTTGGGAAGGCCCAAAAGTGGTGCCTTTGGTGGAAGTGGTGGAAGTTAGAAAGTCTGTGCCAGCGGGATGAAAGATCTGTACTGGCAGGCTGAGGGATCTGCACTGGAGCTGGGAAGAGATGCTCAAAGTAAAGACCAGAGCTCCCCTGAAAGGTGCCACAGCCATCCTCAGCAACAGTGAGGTCCCAAGCTCCTCCAATGGTAAGGAAAGCCAAGTTCCCATCAGGAAAGCCAGTGTGACAAGCTTCTCCAGGAGACTGGCAGTGCCAGGGCTGGGGGCCCTCTTCCCCTCCAGAGCCAGGAAGTGATGCTCAAAGTGAGGACCAGAGCTCCCCAAAAGTGAACTATGACCATTCCCAGCAACAACAAGGTTCCAAGCTTCTTCAGTGATGAGAACAACCAAGTTCATCAGGAAATCCAGCATGACAAGCTCCTCCAGGAAAACAAACAGCTCCCTACAGCTTCCCTAAAAGCTTCTAAACTTCTTCCTCTCCAGTTCTGCCTCTTATGCTGCTGGCAACAATCCCCAGGTGGGCCTCCCACACCCAGAACCACGCTGGTTCACTTCAGCTGGGTGCTGCAAGTGGACCCCAGTTGTCAATCTACCACAGGCCCCTTTTCAGTATTTCCACGGACCCTGGAACGCCCACCGTTTCACAGATGAGAAGAAATGGGCCCAGACAGGGTCTGCGGCGGCCTGCCTAAGGCTGCATAGTAAGTCGGGGCTCAGCTCTCTACCCAGCACCTTCCACCAGCCCGGTCCCCTGGGACCTCTTGCCAATTTCCTTCCACAATGCTCTTCTTCCACCCCACCCTGCAGAGCTCAAGATCCTCCTTCAGAACTTATCCTGAGCTTGGAGGCCCCAGTAGGGCCCAGAAGCCTGGGGGAGTGGAGAGTGGGGCTGAGCAGGAGGAGAGGTGCTGCCTCACCCCCAGCACTCCAGGTCTTTTAGAGTTTGGGGGAAACGCCTGACTTGGCCCTGAAGGGAGCGGAGGCTCCTCCTAGGGCTGGCTCCTCAGGAGCTGAGTAACACCCTCAGGCCTCTGCCCTCGGGGCTGGGCACTGCCTGCTCCACCCAAAGGCCCCCAGCCCTTGGCTGAACTCTCTCAGCCCCCATCCACACCACCCAGAAGCTCTGCTACAGCTACGTCACCTTCTCACACCCACCAGCAGCGAGAAATTCCCGAAAGTTAGAGGACCAGAAAGGGAGAAGGCCTGGTGTCCGGTTTCCTTGGCGTGATATCAAATACCGGGCAGGCTTCTGAGAATGGAATTCAGAAGACAGTTAAGGTCTGGCGCAGGATGGAGTTCAAAGCCCTGGGACTTCCAGCTGGCTGGGGAAACCCCAGGCTCTCCGTGCAGTTCCTGTGGCTCTGTAGAATTTAGCTCAGGCTTACTGTGCAGCCTTGGTATTCTGTGCCCACCTGGCTTCGGACTCCAGCTCCACCCCAGGCTACCTGCTGGCCCTTCTCCCTTTCTGGTCCTCTAACTTTCGGGAATTTCTCCCTGATCGAGCCAAAGTGCTCGATCTCTTTGGGCCAGTGCTGGTTCCTCTGTACGAGGGGTTGATAAACCCCCTGGGCCCAGGTGGGGTCCAGTTATAGGGTGTGATGGTTGGGATCCAGTACGTACCCCAGAAAGGCCCGTTGCACAGACGGCTTGGTTGCTGTTGGGCTTTTAGGAAGTGACCAGATCAGGAAAGCTCTGACTTTCTCCTTGGAAACCAGAAGTGGAGTAAAGGAAGTAAGTAGGTCATGGCACGTGATGCTGGGGGCTGTAGCCGGTCCCTTTACCTCTCCTTGCTTCCTGGCTGCCGGGAGTTAAGTAGCTTTCCTCTACTGTGTCTGTCTGCCTTGATGCTCCTGACTTGGAGCAGCCATGGACTGAACACTCTGAAACCTTGA